AAAGCCACAGAGCGGGAACATGTAAGGAATATAAAATAATAAGTGCAGTTTTTTAGATAAAGGTTTGTGTTTTATCTCACAGTCACACATCATTGCAACAACGGCAAAAATGCTGAAAATGTTAATTTAGATTTTTAGTCCGTAGTTATAAGTTATATTTTTATTTATTTATTATCCATTTAATTAGTTTTAGATTAGTTGTAACTAACTCTTGTTGTTGAAAAATTACATCAGTAAATACTTAAATATGTGAATAAACTAATAAGATGAAATAAAGTATCGTTTTTCTTTCGTTACATATATGTATGTATATTCCCTGAACATACCATATACATTCACTGAAGATACAGATGTACATTCACTGAACATATGATGTACATTCCCAGAACATACCATGAACATTTAGTGTATTAACTCTGACAGATTCCTGGGACATACATGAAATGTTCATAATGGAACTCATGTATGTCGCAGGAATATGAATGTTGCAGGTATATTCTGGGAATATCATTTTGCTATGTGGGAAGTGCATGAGTGAGAGTGAACGATTTCAGTTTCAGTCTTGTTGGAAACAAATGGATTTTTCCCATTTCAGTTTTTGTTCTAAAATTGCTTAATATATGATTTCCCTTTGAAATAGAATTTTATAATGTTATTAAATAATTTAAAAAATAAGTAATTGATCAATTGAGAATACATTTGAAATGGCAAGTTATCATTCTTGGTGTAGATTGTCATTTAAATAAGACTTCATAAAAACAATTTAATTACTTTTTCAAAATTTGTCCTCGAAAATTGCTGGTTCACCCTTTTAAAAAGAGCACAACGTGAGCTTTTTCGAACGAGACTAATTTCTGCGCAATTTAACCAAACTGAACGTCAATCAAATTGATGGATTACGAATTAATGTTACAGTCGATTCGAGGCGATTTGACCTTCTCCCCAACCAACCTCAATGTAAAGATTTAAAATGACACACTGGCGTACCTATCGTTCAATTACTTTCACTTTATTTCTTATAATATTCTAAACATTATTCTTGCTTTTCATCTTTTATTGCATTATTTAAAATATGTTTTCATAGCATTTCACTTAATATGTATGCTATTTAACCACAATTCACCACTTTGACCCTTATTATCTGTAACTTATTATTAATAACGGCAAATTCAATCTCTGGGTCGTACCTTAAATATATCAAGCGCATACTTGACCGTATTGAAACTCAGTTGTCCGTCAATTTTCAGTAGCAAACCTAAATAATAGATCTCGTTTTGCAAAATCGCTGAGTGCCGTTTATAAAGTGCAAATTTTATTTATCCTGACAAAATAGAACTGTACATGTTGAGAACCGACCAGTCATTCTGGCCGAAAAGTACCTATTATGGAGTGAGGTTATCATTTAACAGTGCCAAGAAAAAATATTGTTCTTTGTTCCTTGTTCAAAATTAAAACGTATTCTTTTACATCATGAATGTGTAGATTACTGTCCCATAGTTACCAAGAAGTGAAATTCTAATTAAACGAAGTCTACGCAAATAGTTGACAATAAACTGAAATTCATTCATTGAAAATACCTACGAAAACTGAAATATATTTGTTCATGTACTGAAAATCTTATACCGACTTTCTATAATGGAAATCAACCTCGTTATCTGGTTCTCACACTTCAATGGCGGTGATAACCGTTTCGTCGAAACCAAGAAATTCATTGTTTGATTTCTATAGAATAATTTGTTTTACGCCACTAGGAGATGTGATCGAAAAGGGCTGCCATATCGGATACCAACCATAATTGTATTGCACCGTTAACTTTAAATTTAATTAATAATGGTCCGTGTTTCGGGAACTATTGGCCCGGCTAGACAATTAGATTGGATAATATTGAAAAAGACTGGTTGACATTTAAAGGTTTTGGGTCAATAGAAGCTGAATGAACCGAAAACGTTTGGTCATCAACTCAATTCCTAAATTACGATTCTATTCCTAAATTCAATTTCAATTCAATTCCTAAACACGATTACATATAATTCTAATCGAAGACTAACTAACTAAGAAGTTAGGAACAGCACAATTTTTGTTTGCACTGGAAATTTATTCAAATAACAGACGTATATATTTATTCAACATTACAAGCAGATTTTCAAAACAAACCAGAAACCCTATATAATGCAGAAGCATTAGATTGGAAACTGTTACGTGTTGAAATCCGCCGGCTTTAAAAGTTTTATGAGAAGTGCAGTTAACAAAGTTGCAAAGACGGCTTTATGTAGATTTACAGACGGTATTACTCTTGCTCAGACTTTCCCCATATTATTCACCGTTTAATCATCTGATGGGGTTACCAGGATCAAACAGGATTTTTATATTTCAATCGAGAACAAGACCGCTCAATATATCATTAAGTAACTGTGAATGCCAATAAGGCCGAAATATTTTGTACTGTTTTGTTTCAATAAAGTAGGTACTTGCATTCAATCTGATAAATTGAAGTTATATTTGAATCCGACTTCAAAGGTAACATATTAGCACTTAATTATAAAAGTATAAGAAAACGAAGCTTTCAATCGAAAAACGTTATTCTTTGCAAAATCTCGGGCTGGTCGAGCACTATCCACCGGTAGTTTTGCAACGAAAGAAAATCGCGAAAATGTGCTTTTCAAAAAACTGCAAATATCTTCACAACTAGAAGAGCTGGGAAAGATCTAATCACACTGGGCGATAGACAGAGTCAAGCTCGATAAAAACGTTGGTATTCACTTTTTTGGGGCGATCAATAATAAGCGAGCAATTGCCGATTTTCCAAAATGAAGGAAAAATTTGGGAAAAATTTTCGAAATTTCTCCTAATTTTCCCATGTCAAATATTGACATAGGACACGATTAGTGGTCCAAATCAATCGATTATACTCAAAAAATTATTTACTTTTGCGACAAAAAATCATATGACCTATGACGTCATGGAGGTGCAGGTTAAAAGGGAAACTTCCACAGTTTGGGGAAAATTTTTACTTTCAGAGTGTCGATCGACTCTATCGATAGTAGGTCGATAATGTACCAAAGCGCGTGCGAATGGTGCTTGTCGTTTGGCAGCTATAAAAAATTGAAAATGTTGTTTCCATGGGCTCTTATGGGAATGAGGCGATTTGGCGATTTCAAGGTGAAAAACTTGGAATAATGTCAAATTATTTGACAGCTTTCCTAATATCGTTCAATAGAAGACGTTGACATAAAAATTCGTCGAGATTTTTGGAAATTTTTTTTCTCAAAAATGGTTTATTTTAGCCTGGGATTAAATGGGAAACTTTTTCCTTTTCACTTGACCGACGCGATTTTGCCTAAAATCGATTCGTAAATCAGTAATAAAAAGTGAAATTGAAACACATCGACGTATGTAGGTTTTTCTGATTCTGATTAATAATCCTTCACTGGATAAATCAATTATCCACTTGAGAATATTTACTAAGTGATTTTAGTTATTGTATATTTAACCAAATAACCTAGAATGTTCCTAAAACAAATAAATTGTAACTATTATATGTACATACGTGTCTGTCCAATGTTACCTATTCATTTTTATTGGCGAGTTTTGGAGGCTTTTATTAAAACCCACTCCTGATTTACGCTCGTTCCTCCCGCATGGCCGTTGATTAATTACACATAATAAACGGTTCTGCTTTTCGTTTTTATTTGGTCATTTCGGTAATAAATCGTCACCAAATAGTGACAATTCCGAAATGTTCTAATAATTGATACTTAATTACATTAGTAAATCCATACTTAACAACTTTGGTATCTATCAATTGCTTCTAACTCTGTGTTTTTTGTCTTTCGGACTTTGGTACTTGACAAAGTTTGCTCCTTAAGCTAAATGCAAATATTCGATATATGGCAAACTAATTTGGGTAAATTTCGAAATTGGATAATAGGTATAACGAAGTCATGGGGGACAAGCGATTTACCTAACGTATTTTCAAGATAGCCACACTTCTGGTATAACCGGAAGTTTGGCTATCAACTTGCTTATTTTAAATGGACCCCCTATAGGTAGATATATTGAAACATTTTTGAATTCTACTGATTATTATAAATATATTTGATGCATAATATCCTATACCTAAGTCTAACCGTTTTCGATATACATTTGAAATTATATGTAAACTTTGACAATTGCAGGCACTCGAATCCTAATTATTAATTTATCTTAGATATAAGGGGATAAATGTCACTTAATTTTAGTCGCATTCCCTCCTGAAAATGACTTACTTTAATAGAACTTCTATAACATTTTGATAACTATTAATAAGAAGTGTTAGAAAATAAATTTGAAAACGAAATTGGGAAAACAGCAGAAAATTAATTTTTTCGAATGGATAATTTTAATATTAAAAATAAGGGTAGGGTGGCGAAATTCTGTCATTTTGACATTTACTCAATGACAGCTCAAATCTAGTTCTCTAACCGAAACTCTGTCTCTAAATCTAAAAACGTGAAGAATATCCGGAAGAATTTGCGTTCATCCGATGGCAGACGGAGAGACCCGAAGAATGGGAAACGCCCCGATGCGAGACCTTCATGGACATGCGTGGAATCCCGACTCCGACCAATAATAGCGAGGTTGCCGGAGGAATTTCAACCGACGCAACCATCGTAGTCTTCTAATCCGGTTTCCATGCGCATGAAAACCGGATTCGAAAGAATGTATAATAGTAGTAGTAAAGTAGTGTAAATGTAAAAATGGTATAATACTGTACTGTGAATGGAGCGTCTTGTTTTGGATCGATAATTGTGGGAGTTTGCGCATGTTGAATGAATCCAAATGGGATGTTTGGGTATTTTAAATATTTGCTGACTCAAAATAGCCATACGAAAACGTTAAATCAACAATATTTTGACAACTAAACACTTTTGGAATAGACAACCTTACACAAACTTACTCTTATTGTTAATATAAATAAGAGAAAATTATTAAAATTGGAAGCTTCCATTTGGAAAAATTGATTTTCGGCGGTTTCCTCAATTTTATTATTTTCGAACTTCGGTGGGACACCCTGTATATATGGTATTTCCTCATACTAATCTCACAATAAAACCACATTTACTTTGTAAAGTTAGATTCTGCGTAGGTACTAAATAAAACTTTTGAGCGTGATGCGGGAACATCGTTTTAATCGGATTAAATAGAGTTTCGGTTCAAAATAAACATACCTACTCAATAACAGTTATTTACAAGGCAAGTTAATTTATCGCAAAAATTGTTTAAGTCGGAATTAATCTC